CCAGGCACGACGGCGCGCGCGCGGAGAGCTGCGCGCCCTCGAAGGCGCTGTCGCGGATGACGACGACCACCGGCCGCGGCTTCGACGCCGCGTCGCCGCCGTGGAGCCGGCACCGGAGCGCGAGGCCCTCGCGCAGGACGACGCCGTCGCCGAAGCGCTCGGGCTCCGTGCGCAGGAAGACGACGTCCCGGGGCGGCGAGCCGCCGGCGTCGAGCGCCGCGCCGCAGACCGGGCCCGCCTCCTCGAGGTCCGCCCGGCCGATGAGCCCCTTGAATTTGAAATAGGTCGTCTTGAACAAGTCGGGCAGGGCCGTCCAGTAGTGGCGGGCGAAGTCGGCCATCGCGCCGCGCGCCGGCGGCGGCAGCGCCGCGGCGCGTCGACGGCGAGGATGTTCTTTGGTGCGGCAGCCCCGCGGCGCGAAACGTCGTCGGCGCCGGCGTGTGCGGCAGCCCCGCGGTGCGTCGTCGTTGGTGCCGGCGTGTTCGTCGTAGTCCACTTGTGCAAGGAGACCCTAGGAGTAGAGTGCAATGAGGGCAAAGTTGGCGACAACATTAGTTACATTGCATCATCTTGAGCCCCGCAAGTTGCAGTCCCTTGCCTCGCCACCTTCGGCCTAGCCACCTCAATCTCCCCTTCCAGCCATCGATGTGCGCCCGAAATCTCGCGTGACACGCCGCCCTCGCCCCGTCGACCGCCGGTCGGACTCCGTGAACCTCGCCCATGAGTTGGTACACAGTAACTGGCCGTAAGGGCTGCCAGCTGCGCGCCGGGTCCCTGCTCAGCAGCCACAAAGTCTGCGAGGTCGAGTGCGGCACGCGCGTGCGCGTCGAGACCGTGAAGCGCGTCGTCGCCGGCGACCGCGAGGTCGAGCGCTGCGAGATCGTGCTCCCCGTCAAGGGGTGGGCGTCGCTCCGGCTCCTGCGGCGCGAGGACGAGGACCCGGCGGCGCCCGCGGCCGTCGAGGAGCCCTGGCCCGCGGGCGCCAAGGTCCGGCTCGAGGGCCTCGCGGGCGCGCCGGACCTCGAGGGCAAGTCCGCCGTCGTCCGCGAGGCGCCCGCGGCCGCCGGCGGCGACGAGCGCTACGTCGTCGCGCTCGGCGGCCGGCTCCTGCGCGTGCGGCGGGCGCGGCTCGCGTTCCTCGAGCACGCGCCGGAGGACGACGTCTACGCCTACGAGGCCGAGGCCGAGGCCGCGGCCGAGGCGGCGACGCTCTTCGCGAAGATGCGGCGCTGGTACGCGAGCACGAGCACGGCCGCGACGGGCCCGTACCCGGCGTCGCCGGCCGCGCTCCGGGCCTGGGCGCACTACGGCGACGTCAAGGGCCGCTACTTCCGCGCCCTCGAGGCCGCGGAGGCGGCGGACGCCGAGCGGCGCGCCGCGGACGCCGAGGCCGAGGCGCGGCGCGCCGCGGCCGAGGCCGAGGCCGCGGCGGCGGCGGCCGTCGACGGCGCGGCCGTGCCCGTCGGCGG